CCTAGAGCTAACTGTGTCAAGAAGAGCATGCTTCAGTTGGCTGGAGTGAGCAATTCAACTTGTGGAGGAATGAGAAATGTTACTGTTGAGACAAGAAACATAAAACCCCAGGGTAAGGTAGGAATCACTGAAAGTCAAGCAGAGGAACTGGCATCCAGTAATGAGTTAGACTTTGTCAGCCTCTGGCCCTACAGATGGCTCTTTGGAGAGGAAAAAATAAAGCCAGGCCCGAGGGCACAGATCCTAATGGAATGCTGGCAGCTCTAGGCTGTCTATGGAAGAGAAGCAGAGGGTGGCACCTGGTTGAAAGAGGGGGCTGGGGGACATAGCTTGATCCTGTGTATATAGATGGAGTCCCTGATTCCTGCGACTAGGGAAGGAGATCGTGCCCGGATCAGGGGACCTCAAATCAGAACCCTTCCCACCCACACACCTTCTTTTCAGGGCATCTTTCATTGCAAACAACAGATAAACTAGTTGGAAAGCTCAGCAGATTCTCACGGTGGTGCCTAGCAGACCAGGTCTAGCTGCCCTTTACCCTGTGACTGAGGATGATGCCACTGGCCTGTAAGCACACATTGGAAAATCTTTACATCCATGGACATGCCATTCCCACAGAGACAGCTGTGCATGGTTCTTTAGGTTTGTGGTGCTGTCCTGGCAGTTGCCTTACAAATATGTAGGATTAAAATGGGATACCCTAGAGCTTATCTAACATTTATCCTCCTCCCCCTCAAAATGAAGGGGAACTAGTTTTGTTAGTTTTATGAAAGATGGATCTGTCATTGTTTTTAGAATCTTTGGAGAAAGATTTCTTGGGAGGAAGCTATCCTGAACCCCCAGAGATTTTCTCATTTACTGGCACACCAGCTTTAGAGTCTTAAGTCTTCATCCTGGCTCAGCTACCCTCCAGCTGTGTGACCTTTGAAAAGTTGCTTGACTACACTGAGTCTTGTTGTCACCTATGAGTGGAGGTTGCTATATTGCTACTGTGTGGAGCACCTACCCCCAGGCACTCTTATAGAGTGATGGCGAAGATTAAATGCAATAATAAGGCTGCAGGAGGAGGATCACTTGAAGCCAGGAGTTCGAGACTAGCCTGGGCAACAAAGCCAGACCTCATTTCTATGAAAATGTTTTTTAAAAAATGAGCTGGACTTGGTGGCTTAGGCCTGTAGTCCCAGCTACTCGAGAGGCTGAGGTGAGACCACCTGAGCCCAGGAGTTTGAGGCTGCAGTGAGCTGTGATTGTGCCACTGCACTCCAGCCCAGGCAATAGAGAGAGACCCTATCTCAAATAAATGAGTAAGTACATAAATAAAATAATAAAATAATGCATGCAATTAGTACACTAGTACATGATCAGGTACATGATAAATGCTTGATAAATGGTAGCCCCAATAAACTTTGTAATGTTTTGGGAGACGGTGTCCTTTGGACTCGGCCCAGAAGCATTTGAAGAGACTGTTTTGTATGATGGCTATTTCCTACAGGTATAGACTATACCTTCAGGGACCCAAGGCATTGGCTCAATGGGGCACCTTGTTCTATTTACTCTTGTTTTGGTCAGCACCAATTGCCCTAGGGCTAAGCAGGACTGCCACCACAGATTGCCAAGAGTATCCCCCTCCCCATGCTAGCCATGGGAAAGCCACTTGCATCATAAGACTACAGGAAATCAAAAGGAATAAAAAGCACAATTTAGTCACCTGCTCTCCAGCTGATGGGCAATAGGTTTTTGCTATTTTGAACAGAGCTGTAAGGAACATTCCTTGTCCACATACCCTGTTTTATATAGGCAAGAATTTCTGTTGCATTTAGAGTAGAATTGCTGGGCTAGGAGGAGTGTGAATATTCAACCCTATGAGATGGAGCCAAACTGTTTTCCAAAGTGCTCATACCAGTGTATACTCCCAGCAGCAGTTCTTAAGAGATCTCAGGATCTCTATCTTCTGGTGAGGTCACAAGCAGTCAAAAAGAATAAATCCCAGCTATAAACAATAAGAATCTTAGCAATATAATATTAAGTGAAAAAAACAAATTCCATAAGGATGCATACAGCATACTTTATATAAATTGGAAAAGAAAATGTATATATAGGCCAGGTATGGTGGCTCATGCCTGTAATCCCAGTACTTTGGGAAGCCAAGGCAGGAGGATTGCTTGAGGCCAGGAGTTCAAGACCAACCTGGGCAACATAGCAAAACCCTGTCTCTACGAAAACTAGAAAAATTAGATAGGTGTGGTGGTGCAGGCTTGTAGTCCCAGATACTCATGAAGCTGAGGTGGGAGGATCTCTTGAGTTTAGGTGTTCAAGGTTACAATGAGTCATTGCACCACTGCACTCCACCCTGGGCAACAGAATGAGACCCTTTCTCTAAAGAAAAAAAAAAAGTAAATAAGTAAAATTTAAAAACAAAATGTGGGCTGGGCACGGTGTCTCATGCCTGTAATCCAAGCACTTTGGGGGACCAAGGTGGGCACCTCATTAGGTCAGGAGTTCAAGACCAGCCTGATCAACATGGTGAAACCACGTCTCTACTAAAAATAGAAAAATTAGCCAGGCGTGGTGGTGTGCACCTGTAATCCCAGCTACTCAGCAGGCTGAGGCAGGAGAATCACTTGAACCTGGGAGGCAGAGGTTGCAGTGAGCTGAAATTGTGCCACTGCACTCCAGCCTGGGTGACAGAGCAAAACTCTGTCTCCAAAAGTAAAAATAAAATAAAATAATTTTTTAAAAGTTATTTTTCTGAAAAGATTAACAACACTGACAAACAAAAGGAAACATGACAAGTGATACCGCAAAAACTCAGGCTGGGCGCGGAGGCTCACGCCTGTAATCACAGTACTTTGGGAGGCCGAAGCGGAGAGATCACAAGGTCAGGAGATCGAGACTATCCTGGCTAACACAGTGAAACCCTGTCTCTACTAAAAATAACAGAAAAATAGCTGGGCGTGGTGGTGGGTGCCTGCAGTCCCAGCTACTCGGGAGGCTGAGGCAAAGAATGGCATGTACCTGGGAGACAGAGCTTGCAGTGAGCCGAGATCGCCCTACTGCACTCCAACCTGGCAACAGAGTGAGACTCCATTCCCCCCCACTCAAAAAAACAAAAAACAAACAAACAAACAAAAAACTAGTGGCTATTATCAGCAACTATATGCAAACAAATAGGAAAACCTACTAAAACTAGATAAATTTCAAGACACATCCAGACTACCAAGATTGAACCAGGATGAAATCCAAAACCTGAACATACCAATAAAAAATAATGGGATCAAAGTGGTAATAAAAAGTCTCCTAGCAAAGAAAAGCCTAGGACCTGATGATTCACTGCTGAATTCTAGCAAACATTTGAAGTAGACTAATACCAACCTTACCCAAACGATTCCAAAAATAGAGGAGGGAAAACTTCCAAACTCATTCTACGAGGCTAGTATTATCCTGATACCAAAACCAAAGATACATCCAAAAAAGAAAACTACAGGCCAATATCACTGATGAATATTGATGCAAAAATCCTCAACAAAATATTAGCTAATTGAATTCAACAACACATTAAAGCTGGGGTGCAGTGTCCCAGGTTCACTCAACACTTCCCATTTTCCTCTGTGTATGTGTCTACTTTGCCGTGTTCCCTGGTGGCAGCAGGGGTGGCAGTGTTGGTGAGTGGGCCTCCCAGGACAAGGGGAAAGTAAGTATGCCCTTTTCTTGCCTCCTGCCAGGCATCTGCAGCCTAGCACAAGCTCTGGCCAGGTCTTCAAGCAAGGGACCTGGAGATGTTCTTTTACAATTTCTGGATTGGTAACTTGAGGCAAATTCTGGATACTAGAGTCAGAACTAAGACAAAACTTGAATCACAGGAGTCTGTGGTCCTGAGAGGCAGAGGCGTGAAACCGTCTAGAGCTGGGTGTGTGTTCGGGCCAGTTGCTTCTCTCTGTGCCTCAATGTTCC